AAACTACGGGCCTGCCGGTTTTCCGACTCAAGCCGAATTAAAAGGGCATCACCAAACGCCAAAATATAAGAGGAAGCTATACGCTTGCCCTATACTTTTATAATACTGCGTTATTTAACGAAACTGTTAACGATATAAATATATACTTTGGTCGGTATTTTTTTGAAACGTATTATTTTTGGCGGACTCAGCAACGCGTATAGTAATCGTGTGAGAATTTTTGCGTTTGCTAATGATCCGAATGTGTGATATCTGTAGACAAATAAAAAATCAATGAGAAAAAGTTGGGATGGACATTCTCCATATACCGTCATACCGCAGATTCTCACACCGAATATCTGTTCAGCTTGGGTTTGAAGACAATTGCCAAAAAAATTAAACCTGGCACAGTACTAACACTTTTTAAAGAACCAGATTCCGGACCAGACCATGTTCACCGCTTCGGCTTTCAGAAGAGAGAGAAACGTCGGATAAGTGTTTCAATGTTATGAGAATCATCTGAATAACGTTGTAGAGGCCATGTAGTCTATGTTACTAGTATGTAAACGCGTTGCAATGACGTGGCGCGAAAACCGATGTGTCGGCCAAACAGGAAATTACACAGCACGTTGGTAATTGTTTTTAATTACGCTGTCTAAAAGTTTATGAAATGTTTTGTGATGTTAAATGTGCATTGCGGCATTTTGTAAATCATTTTACTGAAAAAAAACATCAGGCCAGAGGGACTGTCGTTCAAATTATTGTCGACATAGAAGAAAGAAGTTCATCATGTCATGGTAGCTAACACCAACATGAGGACGTCTGGCAATTACTGCAAAGCAGGTGTTTATGCCAATTAACATTTAGAATTTAAAAAAAACTATTACTCTGGTTGTCACAAATTCATATTCAAATTAGTACCAATCGTTTATAATTTTACAAATAGCTTGATATTTCGATATAAAAATTTAATATTAATTTAATTTAATTTAATATTTTAATATGTATTTTAGGTATGCTATAGGTCAATTAAAGAATTGTATTTGAAACAATAAAGTTACTACTGTTTGAACATCCAAAAGAATAATTGTTTTCTATTTATTTATTTCATTCAAATAAAAAGGCAATACTAAAATTTACTATGGTGGCATGTTTTAATGTTACATTTGTCGCCATTGATTAGAGATTTGATTTCCATTGCACAGCAGTCACTTTTCCGTCATTTGCACGTACCAGTCTTTATCTGTCACTGTTTTTTTTTTTTTACCTCTACAGGTTATTTTTCAGCATCTATTTTTTGACATTGATGATAAAAAGTTTATACGACTTGCATATTTATAACTCATCAATTTGTGAACAGTGTCCAGCATAAAATATCGAAAACAAAACTCGTTTGCGAAACTAGTTTAAGCTAAAACTAACCAGACTATTTAGACCAAACAAGTTTACCATACTCTGTACTGAGACCGAATTTCAACAAACTAAGGGTGTCAACTCATACAGCACGAATCAGATCATGTACAACGTTTCGTCCTTCATACGTTCAACACAGAAATAATCTATTTGAAGGAGCAAGACAAATATTTGACAATTAAACACTTAAGCACCAATTAAGCTTCATCTTGAGAAACAGATGTATGTCAATCCAATACTAGTATTTGAAAATCCGATTCAAATCTAGATAGCACAACTACCAGGATTTCGATTATATTTGAATATCTTTTCAATTTTTAGACCTTGTTGTCTCACATTTTTCAAAATTATTTTAGTCTAGTTAATCTTATACATCATACAAATTAAAGTTCTACTCCAATTTAATCAAAATTATTTTATTTCTTATATATTGGATATTGATGAAATTACGTAACAGTGAGTTTTGTACATTTACTTCTAATGATATTAATTTTATAGATTCAGATTTTTTCATATCAGTCATATATTTGGTTATATTGAACACCGTCCCCCAAATGCTTATATTCACGACTTTTGTTTTTTCTTCTCTTTTTATCTTTTTTATGCTCAAACTTTATTGTATTTTTTATCTAGATTCCAACTGGTGACATGCTTTAAATAAAGTATATTATTATTATTAATATTATTGCCGAAATGGTTGGGTTTTCGTTCGCGTAACACTAAAATACATGTATGCAGTTTTTTCCAGGTCTTTCGTTAGAGATGTTGGCTGTACGCTGATTGGGGACATGATGTTGCCTGTGTTCTAGGTCAATTATATAGTCAGAATCAATGGGGGTTTAAATGACGGTGGTCGTCGCGCAGCGCGTGTTAGAATTTCACGTAAACAAGCAATGTAATTTTGCACGAGTTTTATACGTTACTATGGACCACAAATTAACCAGGACGTGAGACGAGCACCATTCTTTACTGTATAATTGTATTAAATCACAGGCCGCAGTATTCTGTCAGCCCTTTCTTATTTTACGACGTCGCAAAACATAATCATTCGGGTCGTTTGGTGCACTCGTTTTTAATATCTAAACAAACTATCTATTTCTATTTAAATATATTTGATATTATACAGTCTGTAATAATAATTTGAATTAAATCAATATCGTTGAATAATTACTGTTTTCCGAGTGTAAATGTACACGAATATCTCATACTCTTTTGCGGTAGGTGGCCGAGCATGCGCTGTGCAAACGCGCCAAGCTTTGTTGAGATCGTCGGATTGTTTTGGAATGTCCATTGCATACAACTAACATACTCCACGCATAATGGTGGAAAAGAAGGATGACTCGAATGATGCGACAGTTCCCAATGACTTGTTTAAGGATATTCGGTATTACCTCATCGGAACCGTTGATGAACGTGTAAGTAACCCCAACCACAGACTCTGGTACAAGACCAATCCGCCGGTTTACGGACGAGTATCCGGTATCTCGATAGTTGGCTATGGTTTTCTTCAGTAAAAATAAGAACACCTTCGTGTATGTAATTGTTGTCACAGATTTGCAGTTAAAATATCAAACACTCTACAGCAATGTTAGTGACAAAAAAAACAACTACGGACCAAATACTAACAAACTGATGTATTGGATACTTGTATTTTTTACCCGGCCTTTTAGCGAACGTGTTTCACCAGGTGTGTCTAATAAGCAACACATACAGACGGCTTGAACGAGTTTAGTAGCAATTCTTGGCTTGTGTAGTTTTGCGACGCGATGTTGTTTACAGGTTCTCTGTACCAATCCGATGTAATTACTTGTACATGTATATCTCGGTGTGTGCTAACCATCGAATTATAAAGCCCTCTTCCTTTGAATGTATATTTGAATACTAAGTATTTTAATCTAGGCTTGAAAATTTCACGGGTGGTGGGTTTCAACGTTTGTGTTCTTCCGTTCACACCCGGGCAGGGGGAGTCAGGAAGTCAGACAGGCTATGATACCATCAGAATATTCATTAAAATAACCAAATTTACCGTGATGCAAAGTGATACCTCATTGTATGACTTCTCTTTGACCTCAAATTAAGGCAACTACAAGTAAACAAAACATGTAAACAAAATTAGCATAATAAAATATGTATCAAAACCAGCCTCCCAACTCATAAACATCCAGTTCCTGCCATGTAAAGATTAATTTCGGGAATTGTGTTCATCTTCTCATTTTAATATGTGAAAAAAACGGCACGTACCAAGATGCTGACATCGATATACAAATCTTGTCAAAATGGCGTTGTTCATGTTAACGTGGTCAATCGAAAAACCTGTGATATTTCTGATTCTTGGGAGCTCATAACAATTCAAGTTAACTATACAACAAATAATGACTTTATTTGATACACCAGTATAAAACAATTCTTCAATTTTTGTATATAAATGAATTTTTTTAACACTGAATAGCGTACATTGTCATTTCAAAACGTCGCCATTTGCATTTATAATTGAAAAGAGCATCCATAAAAATCACCCAATTTAACATTAATAAAATGCGGTGTGACAAATAACAACGTTTTGATCATAAAATGTCAAAATCGAAGACAAATATAGGTTTTGCGCCATGATAAGGGTAAATACGCCGGCTAAAATATGACCTTATACAGATATCCTGATTACAAAATTATGTGAAAAAGCGTGAATTCTGGAATAAACAACTAAGTTGTAGGACCGGCTGTGTAATGATCATGTGACATGTCCCTTTGTTAGGGAAGGAGACCAATTCACACCAAATAAAATGACATTTCCAGACCAGGGATAGAGGGACTTTGCTGCAGGTCATAGTGGCTGATTTGAAATTAAATGCAAGTATATCAAGCAAATCCCTACTGGAAACCTATAGGCTGGGGCTAATGGATTGATTTCAGCAGAATACCACTGTAGAAACACATGCATGGATATAGTGACAAAAAGAGCATCAAAATCTGTGATTGCCCCACCTCCTAATTGTATATTGCAACCCATCTAATTTTTGCATATTGCTCACTGTGTCTGGGACGAAATTGATGGGAGCATTAGTTTCTTTGTAAAATTGAGAAAGCATTTGGTGTGAAACCACGAGTGAGAAGCATCATGTGGTCGCAAACATATTTTTGCTCTAATCTCCAGGTTTCTGAGTTATTGGACAAAGGAGGAGGGAAAGAAGAGACATATCTGACCACTTTTGTGACTCATGTGATCTCTGATGAAACGGATCATGATGAGATCAGCGAAGCAAAGGAGATTTTTGATCTGCCTGTTGTCACGGTAATTTCATATTCAATAAATGCAACATTTGTAAAATACATAAAGCCAACAATGTTTCCACAAATACTTTATGTAAACCACTGTTTCAATGTCCTGATGAAAGACATAGTCATTAACCAATTATTTCCATGACCTGATGTGAGGCATACTCACTACTGTAAAAAACTTTATTTTAGCCATTATTAATTTTTGCCGAAAAGACGTTTTTTTCAGTCTTGTATGAAGTTTATTTTCACTGAATCATAGTTACAAATTAATTTCAAGTAAAAATAAAGTAATTTACAGTTTATCACTGTACCACACCAAGGTATGTGTTTTCAACATTGATAGCAGAGTTTTGTTTGCCTTCTTACAGTCAAAGTGGGTGTTCATGTCTATTAAATGTAGATGTCTGCTTCCATTTGCTGCCTTTGTTCCCGAATCAACTCAGATATTCAGTGGTGTTGTAGCATGTCCATCGCAAGTGAGTATCGGTCAATCTGTTATGAAAACTTTGAAACATCCATTATTCAAGTCGTATTGTTTTCTCCTTCATGAAATTGTTCAGGCGTTTTCACTACCAGTACTTCCTTTTTAGAAACATTGAATAATAATATAAAACACAAACAATCACACACATTATAATATTTCTAAAGATGCAATACAATTATTTTTACCTATATTGTTTTACTAGATTGCTGATGAAGATCGTGATAAACTATGGGCTATGATCACTTTCTTTGGTGGTAAATGTCAGCTGAATTTAACCGCACAATGCACACATCTCATAGTACCGACTGCTGAAGGTGTAAGTATTTATAGTCAAATTTGCCTTTATGTTGCTGTATTGGATTTCATTTTGCTTTAACAAATTTGGTTCCAGTGCTATATCTCCAGCGCTATATTCTTTGACCAAACATTTTCCAACCTAAGATATACATAATACATCACATATACGTTTCACATATGCACGATTATTCACTACGTTCAATTACCCACCATAGACTCCGGTCAGTGAAAATGACTATTTTGAACTGTAGACATTAATCAGCGATTCTGTCGGTGACGGAGAGATAGAATGTAGGTCAGGGGAAGCCCCATAACCCCAAGATTCTTTTACCCCTTACGTCACGAACCCGCGTGACCGAGGCCATATGGCAGCGCCATAAACGGCCGTACAATCACTCTTTTTTTCATCTCTGCCTCGCCGGGAATGATTCTGAGCGGCTCTGCCTGGCTCTGTTGCTTTTTCCTGTTCGGGTTTCTAGCTTGGGTTGTTGCCGCTGCACGGCATCCGACATTGTAGCTGGTAGGATAAGTTTTCCTTGTCTTTTTTACCCTCGTGCCGTTTTCCCCTTTGTGTGTAGTATTTTTCACAACAAAGAAATTAAAATCCGGCGCCACTACGTAACCAGTTGGTTTTCATGGCGGCAACTGTATTTCGTTTTTCCTCATGCATGTCGTCTTTTATTGACAATGTATTTAGCAATATATAGATGTAATGACAGCACCAGAGCTCGCTGCCGTTTTCTTTTCGGTCTCCTTGTGTTTCTAGTCGACTGTGCAGTGGTTTTATTCAGAATTTACCAGCATAGAATCCGCATCCGAGATACTTTGTCGTAGTTGTGTTCGGGGTTTTTGCGTGAAGGTGTGTGTTTTTTCACTGGAGTTCTGAGGCCTGAGATTTTCTCTCAGAGCCATCAAAATCGCTGAGACCGACTGCGTCACAGCAAGGTCGCGCGTCCAGTAAACAAATCGGTTAAAGTGATTTGCGTGTTTTGCATGAGTGGAAAGTCCTCACACTCGGCTACCAGTGCTTCGTGTACCGGGACGTCGAGTCGGAGGCCCGATGGTGAAGGTACCGATATTTTTCTCGATCTCCCCCGCTGATTGGAGGGCATCCTCACTGTCTGTTTTTTCAGGCTGTGGCTTACCCGATTTTACCGGTTGCAGCGAGGCTGTGCCCCTGGAGGCTTTTCTCCTATGGGGCCCGTTGCGGGTCCCTTTGTGGACCCTTCCTCGCACGGCGCCGGGTTTGCCTCCGAGTTGAGGGCTTTGGTCGAAGGACTGTCGGGGCAATTGCGTCCCTGGCAGGCCGGGTAGATCAGACGCAGTCGGAGCGAGCTGTCTCCTCTGTGTTCAATCGGTGGGCAAGCAGGACGAAACACGAAAGCATGTTTGCATTCAAACACGTCTCTTCCGGGGAACCCCCATTCCCAGCCGCGGCTCTCCCACTATTTTGGGGGGAGGCCAAGGCTCAGGCTAATTGTACCGGGCCTCCTCTGGGGCCTCGGGCACTGAATGCCAACGGGGGACCGCAGCCAAGCCTCCGATCTTGGGGCAGGGCTTTCAGGGCTGGGCACACGTTGACCCCTCCTACTTTCAGCCAGCTAGGGTTCATCACGCGGTAACGGTAGAACGGTAATGAATTTATCTTTGTGTCCGGTCTCTGCTGTGGGTTTTGACTCCCTTCTTTCCAATCCACGGGCGTCCCCAGAGGGAACCGACCCTGTCATGAACACACTCCCTCCCACATATTTAAAGTGAAAGAAGACGCAGTTCGCTTGTGACGGATATGACTCGGTGAGCCACGCTTTTGGGGTGATGCTGAGTATCATCTATCCCAGTGATACGATGTAAATACCCCCACCCTTGATCCTAAGGCGACCACCTAAGGTTGCTTCAACCCTTATGGGATCACGGGCGTCGGGATCCAAAGCAACGCCGCCGGCACGTCTCTCCCTGTCCGTCCGAGTGCGGAGTGGGGCGCAGAGCACGCAAACGGTGTTGATGGGCGGCATTGGTCAGCCGCAGAGGATGTAACGCTTAAAGCCCCTGGGTGGGGAAAACATTAGGCAACACTTCCCGCTGGACCAAACGCTACCCGGTTGGTGTGGTTTCGGGATCAGACCCCATAGCGTGGGATGAGACCAAAACGCCCCCAACCGGATTCCAAGGCTCCTTCCCCAGACCTTGGTACCACGAATTTAGCAAACTGGGCAAAGGGGGCAGCCGCGTTCCATGGGCGTCCTTGCCAATCAAAGACGTCCCATTCAGCCCTGAGGGCAGAGTTGCTTGAGTGCATTATTGTGCGCGCCCAGGACTCCGTAGACCTTGGAGGCAGAACGCACCAGCCTCCTAGACCAAGCAACATTTTTACTGGTGGGCCACTGCACATCCACGTGCGACACCCCCTAGTGTCACCTGGCTCTCTTGGCCGATGCCAAAACTGTGCTACGAGACGCGGCCTTAGACGCACGTGTTTTCGCCGACAAGCTGAGTCGGGGTACGTCCCACCTCAGTGACGCAGACTGGACATCCTCCACCCTCTTTGTTCAGGGAATGGTGGGTACAGTCACGGAACTTCGGAGTGCAATGAACCAGCGGGTTCAGATCGAATCCGCTAGCCAGTTGGCCCTGCCAAGGGCAAGCGGAGGGCACCCCAAGCACAGAAAACACAACGCCCTAAGGCGTCGTCCGCTAGCCAGAGTCAGCCAGGAGGCAAGCGCTTATACCCTTCCATGGGAGGGGAATGTAGTGGCGTGCTCCCAGGGAGGAAAGAGCCAGGTGGTGGCTCCTCACCCTCCCTGGGCGGACGTCTACCCGGCAGCGGGGGAAGCGTGTTTGACGCTCACCTCTGCAGCCGGGGGGTGTGGTGGGGTGGGGGTCAGGCATGTGTTCGGCGAGTGGCCAGGTCACAACTTAGTGACTACTTCAGGCCTTGGGGAACTCGCCTCATGGGGAAGGGAGCACCCCCCTCACAACTGCACCCCCCTCGCAACTGCTGAACTCATGGCCACATATCCCTGTTGTTGTTGTTGTATCCCTGTTGTTTGGAAACAGCGGGTGACCGATCCCTGGACCTTTCCAGGTGGTGGCATCCTGTTACAGGATACTGCTGAAATCTCCATTTCCCCAGCGGACTCAATCAGACAGGAAGTAGCAGTTTGCTGGGAAAAGGCGCCATACATCAGTCGGAACTAAGTCCAGGCTTCTACCCAAATGTGTTCGCAGTACCAAATCTACAAGTGGCGGGCGTCCAGTTCTGGACCTAGGCAGACTGAATCAGTACGTGCTCCTCGATCGGTTCCACATGGAGACACCATTCATGGTTCTCCTCTCCATTTACCGTTTCGACTGGCTAGCCCCACTAGACTTAAGCACATACCGATGCACCCAGCGAGTTGCCATCTCCTTCGAATTGCCCAGCTGGGCCAAGTATTCGAATTTTGGGTGCTCCCCTGTTCGGGTTAGGCACAGCGCCCTACGTGTTCACTCGAGTGATGAAACAGGTAGTGCTGCTGCTTCACCAGATGTCGGTACACTTCAATCTGTACCCAGACTACTGGTTACTAACAACCCAGGCAAGGGGTAATAGCCAAACGCATCAGGCTAACACAGGATTTACTTCACCAGTTGGGCTTGTTAGTAAATCGACAAGTATCCCCTCGACCCAACGCGCAGTTGGTGTACCTGGGAATGGAGTTTTGACACAGAGGTAAGCTTGGCTTATCAAGCGTGTTGCTTAGTGCTGAGCAGCCTAGCCGAATGCCTAGTCAGTGTTCCTTCAGTTTCCCTCCGAGAACTAATGCGGATCATCAGAATGATGACCTCAGTTCAAAGGGTCGTTCCCCAGGCCGCACTACGCAGCCGCCCGGTATAACGCTTGTTATAACGCTGAGCTCTCCTATGGGAAGGGAGAAGGAGGGGGGGGGCATTCCATCGTTGTCAGTCCTAGTAGAGCAAATCCTCCTTTGGTGCCTGGAATACAATGTGGAGCTAACCGCACACCACCTTCCAGGGGTGAGGAACAGTCTGGCGACTCCCTTTCAGGACGGCTCTGTCTCCAGAACACAGAGTGGCTGATACCCTAGTGTTTTAGCCTCCAGGCTGTTTTAGTTGTAGGACTGTCCAAGGTTGGACCGGTTTGCCGCACCCCGGAACGCTAAGCTATCACGTAACACTTCTGCTGACTCCAGGAGCCTGGGCTAGGGTCGCTTTGCTAACCCCGTGAACCCACTTAGTTGTGTACGCCTTTCCTCCCTTCCCGCTAGTTCACCGGGTAAAACTTCGACAGGGGCACACCCGCATATTATCATGGGTTGCACCCAATTGGCCAAGTAAGGCCTAGTTTCCACTTCTGTTGGAAATGCTAGTCAGAACACCAGCAGTGCTTCCGGACTTACCGGACCTGCCGTCTGAGCGGGCTGACAATGTCTTGGCCAGGGCAAACAGGGATTCCACCAATGCAGTCTACATTTCTAGGCTGCGAGCATACACTGGTTAGTGTAGCGGAAGGGAGATTGATCGATACCATCCCTCTTTTGGCCAGGTAGCAGGCTCCTTTGTCCACATGTTTGACGAAGTGGGTTTGTCCTATGCAGCGATCGTTGGCTACCGGTCTGCCTTGTCCCCACCACTCAAAATGTACGGGAACAAGAATAGCTGATTGTCCTATTATTAGGAGACTATTTACTGCTTTCCTGACTCCAAGACCCCATACAAGGGAGCCGCCCAACTGGGACTCCCAGGACACGCTCCTCATCCGATCGTCATCTCCAGGCTGGCAAATTTTGTCTGCCCGGAGGGTCAGGAGGAATTGCTTCTCTACTCGGTTTGAGCACGGAGTTGCCACCAAACCGTACTAAGGATTTGGAACGGGGTGCCAGGCACACATCTTTGTGTTATGGCCCAGGCAGGCAGGATAGGCCAGCCTCCCCAACTTTCATAACCAGGTGGTTTACTGTGACTGTATTAGAGGTCTATAATACTTTAACTTCCTCGACACAGAGCTTGCACAGAGCGCATGAGGTCTGTGCGATTGCTAACTAGCTAGTGCTAGCGTCACCCCCCATCGAGCACACATGGAGGGCAGGCTTCTGGTGAACGCAGAACGTCTCTATCAACTACCACCTAAGAGACACCGAATTCATTGAAAAGGGTCTCTCTAGGCTGGTCAGTCTTGGTTTGCTGACCCAGCCCGAACGACCGCTAGGGTCCCTGCGCATAGGCACTAAGTCAGTCCGACATTTTATGCGGATAGATTTCTCTACCATCAGCACTCCCCTGGAAGCTCCCAGGTCCCGCTTTGCGGCCTATGCCCTCATGCAGAACTGTTTTGGTCTTTACTTCGAAAGCTTACTACCCCCCAGAATTGGGTTGGGGTCTAGCTTTCTCAGGCACATCGAACCCTGTCACCGTAGCAGCATTTTGACTTCTTGCTCCGGGGACAGCACAGGCAAGGTAAGACGCCACCCCTTTTTGGGTCTTAACTAGGGTGTTGAGTTTGTTTTCATCCCGAACTGTGAAAAGACTTTCATCATTTTTTCTGTTTGCTCAAAATAGTCATTTTGACTGACCGGAGTCAATGGTGGGTATGAACTATGTGAATAGGCGGGTTCGGAGAACCCTCGCCTAAATTCATTTGACCATTGTAATGTTAAAAATTCATAAAAATCAAGCATTTCTGCCATTGCGGAACTGTACAAACATTGGACAACATTACACCCTGGTGCATTTTTGTTGTTGTTTTTGGAACAAATTCAAAATGGATGGCCGACTATAATGACCATTTTGTTTTAAACAGATCACTGGAACTAACTGGGACTGTGCCATGCACGACTTGTTTTTTTTTGAAAAATATTTGATAAATATCTGTAGCCAATGGGAAAGTAGGTGTATGTGGTCATTATTTAGTCAGAATGTACAAGCAACCAGATGTTTTTGCTCTGTTTTGTTTGTCCAATATATTTGTACCATATTTCTGCATTCAAATGGATTAAACTCGTATGATAAGCAAGTTGAATTCTATTTCATGATCTCATTCATATATTGAATATATTTTTTTACAGACAAAGTATGACACTGCTATGCAACATGGAGAGAAAATAAAAATTGTGATGCCAGACTGGGTGTCTGACAGTATAAACAACAAAGGAAAGCAGGATGAAAAAAAGTATCATCCCATGTTGATAGTTCCACCTAAACCACCAACTCCAGAACCAGAACCAGAACCAGAACCGGAACCTGAACCTATACAGGAACCAGAGCCGATACCAATTCCAATACCTATACCAGTACCAAAGCAACTACCAGTCCCTGAAAAACCTAGAACAATTGAATCTATGAGTATGTTGTCGCAGCCACCTCCTGGAGTTCCAGTTCCCAATCCAAACATTATGAATAATATTCCAATGCGCTTTCAGATGCAGACTGGTAATCAGTTTCAGTTTTTAATGCAACAGCAACAAATGCAGCAGATACAGATGCGTCCGCGGGGTAGAGGTCAGCCAAAACAGCCAAGACAGAGACGACCACGGGGTAAAACACAGCAGCAGCTGCAGCAACAACAACTTCAACAGCAGCAGCAACAACAGCTGCAACATCAGATGCAATTGCAACAGGAACGTATGCACCAACAGGGAATGCGAGAAACTGGTGAAATGGGGCCAGGGCCATTCGGGCATCTTCAAACGAATGCCATGGATATGCCTGAAATGAGGACTTTAAGGAATATTACAAACAATGCGCAAATGTCGCAAATGATGATGAAGTCACCGCCTGGTCAAGAAAGGCGTGATATGTCTCAGGTATTAGCAGCCCTCGGGCGTGCCTCAGCTCAGCAACAGCAGCAGCAGCAACAACAACAACAACAACAACAACAACAGAGGTACCCAGTGCCAGGTCAGTCAGGACATTCACGAATGGATGGTGGGTTTTCAGCCCCACATCCGCCAATGGTACATCAGCCACCACAGCAAGTACAGTATTATGGACATGACGTCTCACAGAATGGTATGTTCATTCCTAATTCAATTCAGGAATACAGCATCAATAAAATATTACCACTATTTCAATGAAGTTCATGTATTAGTGTGCTGCCCTGTAGTGGAACAATCTCTGTTTGTTGGTTAAGAAAATTTACCTAATGCCTACTCCTGTTTATTCCTTTCTAAATGTTGAAAGTGAATGATTATACTGGCTTGTTTCTTGATGACTTTTCTCTTTCTAGTTCCCTCAGATTGTTTCCTGCTTGGTTGTGTATTCTTGATCATAGAGTATCAGGGGATTATTGATCCAATTATGGTTGAAACATGGAAAAGGGTAAGTATATCAGTTGTGAAGCTATAAATTGCTTGTCTTCCAGAATTAGAAGGAACAGTTTTGGGTTATCAGGCATATTAATTATCTAATTTGCATAACACTTGTTTCAGCTGTACCGTTAAAATCCTAATATAAACCACGGTTTATATTGCAATGTATCAATTTAAAAATTAGGTTCAACAGCTCAAGTTCAGGGTGCAGTTTCTATTACGTACATATTGCAATCACTAAATGGGAAGTGGTCATATTTTTCCACAACACATGCACAAAATAAACAATACACCGTACAATCTTTTGAATATAGGCGTAACTCCAATTTAGGGGTCAGATTGAATGCAATCCGGCCATGCTACGGCTCACAAGTGAAGCTTGTTTTCGAAATGTTGAAATTGTTGATTATTACTCAGTAGTGATTATAATAACGCACGAAAAATAAATTTGTTGAATTGTTATCAAATGCAAGTAAGCGAATTATTTTGATCACATGTAAACGATCGATGCAATAGTACGATTTCCATCATGTTGTTTGAATGCACACGAGCATGTTCCTTGACCAGATATGTCAAGTCGCTAATTAACCAATCAAAATGCAGGGTTCTCCCCAGAAAAAATGCATAGCGCCGGGGCTAATTTGCATAATAATTTGCATATCATTTACATCTCTTTCCTTCATTGATTAACAGAACTTATTTACAATTATGAATATTAGTGAGCTCAGTCACAGGGCAAATATTTTTTTTAATGGAATCAACACATTATGTTTCACAATTTAGAAGAGTTTGAAACATTCTCGAAATACAAATGCTACAGATTAAAAACAAACACAAATACATTATTGTTGCAATTTAATTGTTTTGTAAAACGTTGAAGGAAACGCATTCAAAACGTTAAGCCAGATTTATGTTCACGAATCTCATAATTTTATTCACTCCAAAAACATTCTCCTTCAAAAAATCGATCACGTAATTAATTGACGTATTGTTGTAATTTATTATTCGTACCATCAACTTCTAAAACGTTTACATTACAGTAATGAGCGAACAAATAAAGCTTCAAAACGATCATCAAAGTTACGACGTGACATAACTTACTTGG